CAAATGTTTCATCATAGCCAATCCCTTCCCCCTGATTATAGCCTTGGACCACTAGTCTGGCCTTGTTCCTTGTGGTAATTCCATGTTCATCGAGCTTGTTTCTGAATACCCACCTGGTTCCTATAATGTTTCTATCTAGGGATCTGGGTACCTGGTGCCACACAGTGTTTCTCTCAAACTGATGCAGCTCATCTTGCATGGTTGTAATCCAATTTGCATCTTTTAAGGCTTCTTTGATGTTCTTGGGTTCAATATGGGAGAGAAAGGCTAAGAAGGCAAGTGAATTTCTAGCTCTTGACCTAGTTTGAACTCCGGAATCTGGAGGAGTGATTATGTTGTCTATAAGGTGAGAACTTTGATATCTCCAGTTAGATGTCTGGGGTTTATTCTGAGAGGAGGAAGGTATGTTTGGCTGATTTTCTTCTATCCTTCTCTCAGATGCCAGTGGAGTTCCCTGAACTGCATCAACCACTCTTTCTTTGGCTTTAGTGATTGTAATTGAAGTGCTTGGTTCTGTTGATGATGAGGCAGCGTTATCTTCATTTGGCTCCTTCACTTAACTCATCATGTTTGCCTTTCCGTTTGTCATGTTAATGACTTCACCAGGAACAAGTAAGGGTTCTCCATCTTGATCTTCCTCAGCACTCTTCTCAAATAATGGATGAGATTCATCAAAAATAACATGGACGCTTTCTTCAACACATTGAGTCCGCTTGTTAATATATCTTGTAAGCCTTGCTTTGAGAAGAGTAGCCAAGAAATATCCCTTCATCACTTTTGACATCGAACTTACCAAGCTGATCCTTTCCATTGTTGAGAACATAGCATTTGCATCCAAATGTTCTTAGTTAAGTCAGCTTAGGTTTTCTTCCATTCAGCAATTCATACAAGGTCTTGTTCAGAATTGATCTAATCATGTACCTATTCACTAAGTAGTAGGCAGTGTTGACAGCTTCAGCCCAGAAATTCTTTAAAAGTCCACTGTCAATCAGCATTGTTCTTGCCATTTCTTCTAGAGTTCTGTTTTTTCTTTCTACTACTCCATTTTGCTGTGGAGTTCTGGGAGCTGAGAAGTTGTGAGTGATGCCATTTTATTGCAGAATTCGTCAAATTTGATATTGTCAAATTCTGTCCCATGATCTGATCTAACGCATACAACTCTAGACTCCATCTTTACCTGGATTTTCTTCACAAAGGCCACAAATACTTCACCAGTTTCATCTTTTGTTCTGAGAAACAGAGTCCATGTGAATCTGGAATAGTCATCCATGATTACGAAAATGTATCTCTTTCCCTCTCTACTTTGCACCCTCATAGGTCCACACATATCCATATGCAAGAGCTCAAGCGGCTTTGAGGTGCTCAAATCTCTTTTTGACTTAAAGGAGGACTTTACATGTTTTCCTCTAGCACAGGCATCATAGACTTTTTGAGTTTTGAATTGTGACATTGGCAAACCATGGACCAGGTCCTTCTAAATTAGTTTGTTCAGAAGGGAAAAGCTTGCATGACCCAGTCTTCTATGCCATAGTTCAGCATCATCGTCAACCGCCTTCAGACAACTCAGATCACCACTCTGTAAGGACTCAAAATTAGCAACATAGATGTTCTTGTATCTTTTGGCCATCAAAAATTATTTCATCGGTCACAAGGTCAGTGACTGTACATATTTTGGACAAGAATTCAACCTTGTTTCCTTTATCGCAAATTTGAGAAACACTCAGGAGACTATACTTAAGTCCATTGACATAGTACACATTTTTAATAGAGTGAGTGAGTGACTTCCCAACTTTTCCAACTCCAAGAACGTACCCCTTTTTGCCGTTGCCAAAGGATACACTCCCTCCTTGCAGGGCTTTTAGTGAAAGAAAGTCTGTGGTATTTCCAGTCATGTGTTTCGAACACCTACTATCCATGAACCATTGTTGACCACTTCCCTTCACTGTTCCCTGCACAAAAGATTAGGAGTTAGTTTTAGGAACCCAAATAAGTTTGGGTCCTTTGTAGTAACCAAAAGGATGAATAAGAGCTCTCTTAGTCCATGCAGGTAATGTGTGTTTCTTGTGAGTGGAATCTGGTCCCTCTTTGTGGTCACAGTTTCAGCAGCCACTTTATCTTTTGGTATTGATTGATTCTTGCCCTAAACACCTTCCTTGAAGTGCCCAGTGTTCCCACATTGGGTACGAGGCCAGTTATCAGATGTAGTGGCGCTCTTACTGTGAGGGTTGTGAGGAGTTTTCTCCCTTTGGAACCCTGATCCCCGCCCTTTTTCACTGTCATTAGTGAGCAAGGCAGTGGTAGCTTCTAAGGACCAGGTCCACTTTAGAGACCTTTCAAGATCATTCATTACTTTTTCTAGATTGGCTTGGAGGAGCTCGTTTTTCTCAATTTCAGCACACATCCTATATCTCAAGGACTTCACCTCATCTTCAAGCCTAAAATCTTCCTCACTAACTATCCTCTTTCCTCTTTCAGAGCTTTCAAGTTTTGAATTAGTCAAAGGCTTTACTATTAACTCCCTTTGGTCTGCAGTTTCTGCCAAGAGATCACTCTTTTCTTTTCTAAGAATTTCAATGGTTTTCTTTTGATCAGTAATTGCAGCCACTAAGTCTTCTCTAGTATGTTCATATTCTTCTAGCTCTAAGAACAAGGAATCCCTATCCTCCGCAAGATTACAAAAGGCAGTCATTAAAATATTAGCTAAACAAATGAGTTTTTTTAGAAAATAGGATTTCAGATTTTTCTGAACATCCCTGAAGTTTACCTCTTCGTTGTCATTGTCTTCATCATTATCTGATTGAGGCATCAAAGCAAGCGTTGAGTCATATCCAATCTCCTCGCCTTCAACTGCCATCGTGGAACTATCATCAGTATCAGATTTATCTTGTTGTACTTGTGTAGTTCCCTCATAAGCTACTTGCAAGGCCTCCCATAGTCCTTGGCAGTGTCGCATGTAGAGATTCTGTCGTACTCTTTAGGTCCAAAACCATACACCAGAATTTTCTTGGCACGAAAGTTCTTCTCCACCGCTTTCTTATCTGCTTCAGTGTATTCTTTGCTGTTTTTTTATTGAAAATGGAAATTCATTTAGTACCTTGATTGGAACAAACGGACCATCGCAGATGACATCCCAAAGCTCACAATCCTCAGCCATGATGAAATCATGCATTCTAGCTTTCCACCACCAATAGCATTTTCCATCAAACTTGGGTGGGTGGTATATGGATTGACCTTCTTCAAAATTTAGTGGAGCCGCCATGAGGATCCTTCCTAGGTGTTAGCCTGATAGGAGGAACCTGCTCTGATACCAATTGTTAGATTGTATGGATCACCAAATCATAGAGTACCTGGTCCTCTACAAGATTCTGCTGAGAGCACTTAGTAAAGTAGTAAGTAAATGAGGCAGAGGATTTTTACGTGGAAAAATCCCACACAAGGGGATCAAAAAACCACGACCTACCTTGTACGCTTTTAACTTCACTAACTTGTAATCTTCCTATTGCAAAGAATTTACTCAACTAACTTATGGTACCTTTACCACAAGCCACTTTGTGACTATCCTAGTTACAAAGGCTTTTTATAACTTGTGATGCTATCACCACAAGCCACTTTATAATTCTACGATTACAAAGACTTTTTCTTATGACTAAATCTAGTCAGAACATAAACTCAACGAGTTTACAGATTTACAAGAGGATTCCTAATCAATATGTTTCTAGATAAGCGATTTAGGAGATATAGTAAGTACAATAACAAGGTTACAACTCAACTAGGACAGCAATCATCAATCTTTTAGGAACTGGTCCATAGTGGTGTTCAACATTGTTCTTCAAGCTTGAGAGGATGATTTTTCTGTTTTTGCAAGAGGCTTGAATAAGAAACAGAAATCTTCTAGTGATGTTTTTTTATAAAGCACATTTGGTACATCTTGATCACATGACTTGAAATGATGTGAGTACTTTGTTTGGTTAGAGAGTGAGTGGGCTGACAGTGTGGTGCAGTGCGGCAGAAACAGTGCCATCGGTCACTTCATTTTCAGCTGTGTCCAAATGACTTTGTACTGCTATGAGGAAAACACAAAAGCATCAGATCCTTGTTTGGTTCCTAGTTCCTGAAGCTGTAGCAATTCATCTTTAGCTGATATCTGTTAACGCTTGCAGTAATCCAAGTAGGTCAGGTTCCCTATCTGGTTCTTAGCCATAAGTTTGTTAGATCATCAAAACATCAGGCAAGAGCATTTAAGATCTATCAGTACTACCACCATTCAATTCTGAATATTACAGCCAAGTACTCCTTCCCTCTGTTTTAGTTTAAATGACATATTTTTCTTATTAGTCTGCTTCAAAAAGAATGACACATTTCTATATTTAGAAATAATTCAATTTTAAACTTTTAATTTTACCCACTTTACTCTTAACGAGAAGTTTTTATAGCCACACAAATATCATGGCCCCATAAATCTTTTACCCCTTAAGTTTTTATAACCACATATTTTAATTTTTTTTAACTTTGTGTCAAGTCAAACTAACTCATCTAAATTGAAACGAAAGGAGTATTGAATTCCCCTTTTAAAATTTTTTTCTTCTTCTTTTGTTACTACGGTCAAACCTCTCTATAACAACCTCGTTTGTTCTGAATATTTTTTGATATTATAGCGAAATATTGTTATAGAGAAAATATATTATAACATAACATGAAAATTGGTTCCAAAAAAGTTTGGCCTTTTATAGTAATAGTGAAGTGTTGTTATATAGGGATTCTGTTATAGAGGTCTGACTATATTTGGAAGCAAAATTTAACAACGAAACTGAAAAGTCAGAAGACCAATCCAAATGGATCAAAACATTCATGACGTGCTAGATTCGTCGACTGTTTCGTTTTGCTTACTAACTTCTCGTTATCTTCCCCCTTTTCTCTATAATAAAAACAGTGTAGACTTACTGCCTTTTTCTCATTGCATTCCTTCTTATTCTTACATCCCATTTGCAGATAGAGTAATCATGGCAGCTGTAAGAGGCATTAGCGAGGTTGGAGGATCCCAGAATAGCGTTGAGATCGATGATCTTGCTCGTTTTGCTGTCCAGGATTATAACCAAAAACAGGTTAATTACTCTCCCCCCCCCCCC